TGGGCCTTCTGCTAATTAGTCACACTACGCTTGTGTCTAAGGGACTTTTGCTTCGCCGTATATTTTACATGCAAATTCAATAGAGCCATGCTCAGTATGTCATCGAGGAAAGGACACTGTGATAGACAATTATATTTCCAACCTGCTGGGTTGTCTCCCCCCACCCCCCGCCTCGTCCCCCCACTGTATATTCTTTAAAGATTCTCACTTAGGTATTGCAGGTGCTTCTCGTTTTTCTTCCTCTTTGCTTTCAGGGCCTTGAGCCCGACCGCTGCAGGCGAGTTTGAAGGGGATGGATGTTTCTGATAAAGTCAGCGTATTTTAAATAAGACAAAATGTTGTACTGTTTTTCATACGCAACTAAAAGCAACCACATGAGAATTTAGAGGAACAAAAAAACCAAACCAAACAAAAAAATAACAACACATGAAAAAGCAGGTCAGTGAGCCACAGACATAATCCAGAAAATTAATAAAAAGCTGTTCTCTGGGGCCAAATCCAGCTGTATGCAAAAAAAAAGAAAGAAAGAACCAGAGGAACACAGAGCACAGCAGGGTACTGTGAACACAAGACTAGCCTACACCACTCTCTTTGTTTTTAGAATGGGAAGGACAAGAATTTGCCAAAATAGTCAAAAAGCATTGAAATGACAGTTGAAAGCACTGCTTGACCATTGCTGACTGACATTTTGCTGACACTTCTAACACAGTTTTCTTTCTACTACATTTTTTTTTAAATAAAGGTGCCAACAAGAATTCTTTGCGTGATGCCAAAGAACAGAGTTCTTCAAGTAAGGACCTTGAATCCTGTTTCCGTCCTGGATTTTGTAATCACTGGTAGTTTACCAGAGACTGCAAAATCCAGGACTGAAACTGGATTCAAGGTCTGGATTTAAAGAACCCTATAATAGAAGAATAGAAGAAACCGATTTCATTCCCCAAAAAAACATTCAATTCATTCATGAATGGTTTCTTCAAGTAAATGAGATGTGCGAGTATAAAGAACCTTTTAAAGAGCCTCCACACAATGTAAACGTTCTAGGATGAACCCTTAAAATTACAAGTCTCAAGCATGGTTCTGCTGGAAACCAAAACTTGTTCTTTGTGTCATTTTAAGAGCATAATCCTTTCTTTGTGATAAAATCAAGGCAAACCAATTCAGGTAGTAACACTGTTATGATCAGTAATTCATAATTAATCAGATGACTGTACGTACCATACAGTCTGTGTTTCATTTACACGAAATGAAATTTCCATTATGGCAAACCAATCAGCCACTTATTTACTTATTTATCGCGTTCATAAGCAAATGAGCCAAATCTAAATTTGTACGCTCCCTGGCGCACAGCAGAAACCATGCCCTGAACAAATTCTCCAAGCCCTTCTCCCAATAATCCAGAGGCTGCAGGCTGGCCTGGCGCTCCAGGCTTCTCCATTTGAGCACTGCTTTGAGCCTCCCGCTGGGCAGACAGAAAGGCAGCATGCAGCAGCCTTGGGAGAGGCCTGATTGAAGACATAATTCCGAATGTGGGAGATTTCATGGTTAGGAGCATGAAAAAAGCCAGAGAACGATGGATGGCGGGCCACAAATTAGGCGAGTCAGGGGCTGAGGGAGACGAGGAGAGCTGGACTCGAGGGCCGTAAGCACGGGCTCGTAAACAAATTCTCCCTCAGCAGCAGTGTCAATCACCCTCAGACTACAGGCAAATCAGCCAGCCACAGGAGAGCGGAGTGCTCGACATGCCATGGCCCAGCACTCCATCCAACTCCATCGGCATACCAAACAGCCAATGGGAGAGCTCCGGCGTCTGGCGCAACAGCAGTGCAAACTGCATTCCACAGAGGTTTCATTTGACCCACCACCTCTTTCACACAGAGGAGTACTGGAAGGTACATTATGATTAGTTAAACCTATTAAACCAAAATCGCAATACGTTCAGAGATTTCTGCGATGTCCTCCTTAACTCATTAACCCCTTGAGGTCGACACAAGAAAGCAGCTATTTCTGCCTTTTAATCTGTTCTTCTCCATTGATGATGTGATTTCAGTGCTGCTGTTGTGCTTATTTTGATATGATCTAAATAAGCTGAACACTGCAAGATTTTTTTTTTGTTTGTCATTACCTACATTTTACAACAAGAACAATTAAAAAATGAATAATAAATGCTTACTGATCTGAACTGCATGCACTCTAAAAAAGACAAAGTGCATCCAACAAGAAAGGAAGCCTCGTCCATCTTTTACACAACGATAGAAACATAATTCAAGCTACTGATATACATTCAAAGTGAAATTCAGATCACTAACGGCTGGTTATTGATTTGTTACATTAGAGACACAATAAATGGCAACAGATGTTGTATATTTCTATGTACAAATGTGCTTCTTTAACCTTTTTTGACTGTAGTCATAAAATTAACTACCATGTGTTTTTTTGTGGTTAAACTATACATTTTTGCTCTTTAATAACGTTGATGGCATATATTCCGACAGAAGTGTGAATGATTTACAAAATCAAAATCAAGTGAACTAGATTTCCATTTTTGTATGTGAGCAAACAAGTCAACCTTTAAAAAAGTGTTGTTATTGTGTTTAATTTGGCAATTGTACATGATTTTTTTATACAAAAAGCTGGAGTTGTGCTGTCCATTTAATGTTGGCTCAGCCATCTTTCTGAAGGGGGGGGACTGTTTTCACAGCAGGGGGATCTCACTCCTCTTTTTTGACCCCTCTTGCTCATTAGCAGCTCAACACAGAGACATAACATTTCACACACATTAAGCCAGCAGTGTTCTAGTTAATCTCATAAGTGTTACAGAGAAAAATCTGTTATTTGCTTATACTCTATTTATGTGATTTCATGTCATTAAGGGAGAAGACTAAATTAAACAGCAGAAATAAGCATTTTTATCTGCTTAGGCACTAAAGCTTTATAGACCATGGACATTAGCCTGGCAAGTCCGCGTGTGAGGCTTCACATTGTGCTGGACGTGGCTTGCAGTAAATAGCATAATAATGAGAGAAATAAAGCAGTAGCACGCAGGAGTCATTGTTGCTGAGCCGGGAGCTGCACTGACTTGTTGTGAGAGAAAGTCTTACTGTGAAAATAGAGACCTTTTCCTGTGTACAATGTGTATCATCTACACAGTGTAAACTCAGATGCCATATTCGCATGGGCTGGAACTAGGCTGCCTACAGCTAAAATAGCATATTGTATGGCAACACGAATAATGCATGCTGATCCCTGTGCCGCTCATCTAGACGGAGGCGCAGCACACCGACTGTTGGCTGAACCCAGAGAAGCGTAAATAATGTGAATGTTATGGTGAGCGGTGAAGTTATTAGATCCATTTACCAGCACATCACAGACAGGTCCGGCCCAGCCTCGATTGAATCCAGGGACATTTGGTCGGCAACCTCTCTCGCAGCCTCCTGCAAGCCCACGCCCACACCCTCCTCCACAAGCTCCCTCTCATAAGCCACTGTGATATATTCCACATGACACTTCCCAACACGTTCATGTTTCTTTTTGAGTGGAAATGCGAAGTGTTGGTGAGTCTCTAAGTCACGAGTTAGGTGTTACTATTATACGGTTGTTGGGAGGAGGAAAGTGTTCCATCATAATGCCACAGCGTGGAAGCATTAAGGAAAAATATCGAATTATGGGTTTTCATTTTGAGGGACTTATGTGCTGAGAGGGACTCCTGAGCTCCATTCACTCCCATAATGAGGCGCAGCAGCCTCCTTTAATAAGAGCCGTAATGTTTTTTTGATTGCCCCGTTTAATCTCGCCCTCGTGGGCTGGCTGCAACCGGAGCGCTTGGCCTTTTTCACACACTGTCACGTCAGTAACTTCCAGGCACCAGCGAGAGGTGCTGTGAGCAAGAGGAGCATGAAAAATATTCAAAGCAGGGCTGCTGTTTGTATGGCTATATGGAGATAGAACCCATTCCATCTCAGGCCTTCAAAATACAGTCCCTGCTGGTAAATATTCTTGAATTATCAGCAGGATATTTATAGTCTTCGCTTCAAATGTTTGATATAGTCGATCTAAACTACCTGTCACTTTTAAAATATTAACCCTCCTGGGCCGGCTGTGGCACATGCACCTCTTCTTACGTTAGGTTTAATTATTTCTGACGCTCATTGAAACAAGCAGAGAAATTCAGTCAAAAGTATGTATTCTAAATCTTCAGTTGATACAGCATTTGTGTTTGTAAGTAGAAGAGGAGATGTTTTATTATATTTGAATTTGATGAAAATTTGTATGATCTTGTTTTGTGGAAAAAACAATTACCAGGTTGTTGTCATTTTATGACATCAAAATAAATAATAAATGGCGTGCAAACTGGCTTGCAAGACAGAATGTAAGTAAAATGTTAATCAAATTCATTATGTAACACTGTAATTTTGCAAGTGTATAATTACTAGGACTGTCAAACAATTCAAATAATTAATTGTGATTAATTGCATTATTTGTGTACTTTTTGGACAGTATTGATATTGCCATTATTAGCAGTGCTTTGTTTACTTAAGATTCAACATCCTTCAGTGATTAACAAATTCATGGCTTTACAGTAGCTAGAAAAAACTTTTGGTTTTATCAAGAAAACCATCAGTGGGATTCTTGCCATTAAAAGCTGAATTTCAATGAAAGCCCTACAGTCACAGAGTCATAGCAACAGCACATGAGCTTCAAGCTTCAGCAGATGGGCTTCAGGCTGAAACTACAGTTCATGTTCAAAGGGTCAAACTAGGAAAAGAGTGTTAAAAAGTTGTGGAGTTACTAATTTATGGCATTAACACATTATTAACATGTTATGCATGTGTTATTAATACGTTACTTTTGCACACAACTAAAAATTACAAAAAAATAATTGTATAATGTACATTGAATGTTAAAACAAAAATTGACAAAACTAACTCTGAGGGTTAAATCACTAAAAGACGAGCTAAATCAAGGCTAGCACTTTTTTCCAAACTAGCAATAGAAGAAATTACCTTTCAACGTGATCCAGGTTTCCGGCCACACCCTGTCCTCCGATAGTGTAGAGCTTCCCATCATACACAAGGCTGTTGTGTCTGCAGCGGGGGACGGTCATGCGGGACACAAGGTTCCAGTTGTCCAGCAGAGACATGTAGCACCACACATCTGCCACCGTCACCCCTGACTCTGTACCACCTGAGGAGAGGGCACACTTACAATCACACCTCATAACTTTGCTGTAGATCTGCAGTGCTCTAATTAGTGTTTATTCGCATAGATTTGGACTGTTTTAACAAGCAGCATATGTTTGAATATTTGTTATATCTATTTCAAATTGAAAAAGATGCAAATGCTGTTGTCTTTAGAATAAAAAAAAACAACAAACTGCCTCTGTCATGTGTGTGTCAGCTGACAAACTGATGCTTGGTTGAGTTAACCACTGCAGCACTTCTGTATATGTCTCTGGATAAGAGCATGCTAAATGATGCACAAGTAAAAGTAAGCACCTGAAAGATAAATATTATCCCCGGCTGAGATGACGCTGAAAAACTCTCGATCATAGAAGGGTAGGCTAGCGAGGGGATACCACTTGCTGTTCTGGGGGTTAAAGCAGGTCACCGCAGTGAGGGAGCGCTGGTTCATGCCGATGGTCTGCCGTCCTCCAACCAGCACTATCACCTCTGCAACTCCTGCAGGTTAGAGCAGATATAAACACATTTGAGTGCTTCAGCACTTCCTTAGGGTGCAATGCTGAAGAGATTAAACATGGCTGAGAAGTATATGCAGCATTAGTAGATAATGGTGTACTGATGGAATGCACTGCTTCATTAGCTTCACTGATTAACCAAACTGCTTTGGATGGAGCCACAATCCGGTAAGAATATCAATACAGCAGGTGACATTAAATTACCTTGCGCATACACACTCAGTACAGGAGTCACAAACTCAAGACCAAGTTAACTTCCAGTCGCAGTAAACAGGGCAAATATGACTGCATTACATAAAAAACTGTTTTTCAGGGGTAACCTATATGAGCAGGCCAGCGTGTGTAGCGAAGAGTGTAACTGAATTATCAGAGCTTAACTAAACTCATAACCATCTGTTCAGCTGCATGCCCTCCAGTGATTCAGAACCATGGACAGGTTGGACTGAACCCGCTCACATAAAATGCATTACTTCAACATGTGAGCTCATCCATGACTCTGCCTTCTACTGTCCTGGAAAGGTCAGGCTAACTATATTTTTAGTACATGTTAAATGGCACTTGGAACAAATTAATGGTTATGAATTAAAACACAGCAAGCAGCATCAGAAAAATTAATGAAGTCTCAGGGCCAAAATGCCTCTGTATGTTTAAAAAATGTCCCTGAAATTTAAAATGCGGTGGCAAAAAAGCCCCTGTAGGAGTCCTATTTTTAAAAAGAAATGTACGTTCTCTCAAAGCTATACAAAGATGACACATGAGATGTGGTTTTAGGGCACTTTAAAACCTACCTTGTATGGTGTGGACCAATAAAACACTAATAAAATTCTTTAGTTCAGTTCATTTTGACACGTGTGAGCACGAAACCCATGCACGGGTGATCACTACACAACTGAACCATACTGATTCAGGGTCTTGGTGCATTTCCAAGTGAGCTTTGTTTTAGTTCACTGCTGGTGACATTATTACAGTGCTGGCACATTATTACAGTGGTCCACAACAAAATGAGAGAGCGCATTATCAGACCATGCCTTCCTCTTCTTCTAAAGGCACATCAATGCTATATTATTCTCATAATTTGCCTGTCAAGAAGCAATTATTGAAAATGTAAAAGACAAAAAATCTGCAGAAATTTTGCAAATCAAACAAAAAAGCTGCAGGTGTTTATAAATGTTATATAATATGTGTTTTTCTGATGCTGAAAATAAATTGAACTTAATGTCTGTTTTAACTAGAAATTAAATAAATGAACGGTGGTCTCTGATTTTTGCACACTACTGTATGTCGAAATGTTTGTAGACACCTGCTCAACAAACATTTCTTCTAAAGTCAAGGGTATTAATAGGTAGTTTGGATCACAAATGCCACTGCAACTCATCCCAAAGGTACTGGATGGTGCTTCATTGCTCCAGAGAATGCAGTTGCACAGCCCAATGCTGAAGGACTTTATACCCCTCTATGTGACGCATGACTTTAGGCTTATGTACTGCTGTTGCACAGCTGAACCCCTGTATCAACAATGAGATCACCTTAAAGCAGCTAAATTCACTACTAAGAAGGGCTGTCCAGACACTTTGTAGTTTAGTTTTGGAAGGTGCGTCCAGACATTAGTGAGAGTATTTGAGAACCTGTATTCTCACCAAATTCCAGACCAATCAACAAACACCCTCATGTATAACTAATGCACTTTATCCAGTGCAATATAAAACAAACTGAACTAAATGAAAAAAATATAACACATTACAAAAAATCCAACTCTGACATTGACTTCAGCAAAGAAACTAGTTGTGACAACTTAAGACACTGTAGTTGCCTCTGGCTGACAGGTTAGTCCATGCGATATTTTATAAAAGTTATTGGATTGTTCAGCAACACTGAGGTGAATGATGTACGTGAAACATGGAACTTTTTTGGTGGGAAGACCAAACTTCTTTCTAAATCTGTTGCAAGATATGTGCAGAATACTTACTGAACAATACAAGGTTAGACAAATTTGCCACAAAAAGGTCAAAACTTCCCCTGAAAATTAGATCCAGAAGGCAAATAAAAAAAGGCTAAATCCCTGATGAAGTTCATTACTGATACCTATTATATGTGCCTAAGCAATACACACTAAATGTTCTTATGGACAGTACGAAGACCTCATTTACCAAGTTACGTGACTCGAGCGAAAGGGCTAATCCTTGAAGAATGGCAACAGTGAAGATGATTTCCTGCCTTATGTGAGCAACTGTACAGGTCTAATATCAAGGCCCCCGACAGAGCAAGTGGAAAGAAAGAGAGAGAGAGGGAGACAGAGAAAGAGAGACAGAGAGAAAAAGAGAAAGAGCGAGGTGCAGACATTCCTGCACTGCCTGTAACCGCTGGCTCATCTTTTAGAATCAATACTTCCCCTGCGCTCCCCTGACAACAGCAGCTCGGCTGATCCATGAGCTTCTCTCTCTTCCAGCATCGCTCTTATAAACACTGTCATCTTTTTCTCTCCTTCTCTTTCACTAAATCTCTCCAGAGCAGGTAAAAAACACAACTAGAGTGAAAAAATAGAAGAGGTTTTGAAAAAAGAAAAAGAGAGAGAACACCACAGGGAGTTTTTGTCATTACCTGGATGTGAGATTGGATGGGAAATGGGAGGAGTTGACTGCTCTGGTGCAGAAAGTGGAGAAATATGGCAAAATCGGTGCTGCCTGTCAACAGAATAGATCTTTCTTTGTTTAAGAACGTGGGCTAGACACTATATCTTTATGAGTAGTTCATTTTCTCTAAGCTACTGACATGGCAATAACATTTGTGCTGCATTATCTTCCTTTTGACGTATACATTTAATGAGATAACCATGACTGTATTTTGAATTATAGTTCCTACAGGAGGGCTTTGGGTAAGTGGCCTGTTTTACTGATGCAGGTGGAAACTGGTCTAAAAGTAAAGGCCACTGTCAACAGGGAGCCACTGAAAATCCTTTAGTAAACTCACAAAGATGTTCAGCCTTGCTAAAAGTTTTCACATCTGAAGCCCAAAGAGAGTTTTCAGTGAATGCGTACAAACAAAAAAAGAGATTTAAGAGTTTGAAACTGTCCCCATTCAATCAATGAATTCAACAAATCAAATGATTTGTTTTCAAGACATGTACATTTACAAAAACATCTAACCTACAGATCTGAAACATGAGTGTGTCATATAGTCTATATTTAGCAAAAAGTTACAATTGTAAGCATGTTATGTAATACATGGATGAGAAGTGAGCTGAACGAAAGGTGTGACTCTTAGTGATTGTAAAACAGAGCCTCTCATTACCATAACTTTTTCAGTGCTTTAAATAACTACTTAAACACAGCACAGATTTACTGAGTAAAGAACACAGAGAACTCACTGGGGAGAGAATGTACAAGGGAGCTGACTCAAAAACAACAGCAGCACGCTCGGCCAGCTATTGTCAGCTGATGCTTTCATTTCTGCTAAGTGCAAATACAGTAATTTCCTGTACCTTTAGGGGATTTTGAAGAAATGTTCAAACAGCGATTGCCTCTAATAACCTTTTTTTGGGCCAAAATAATGTGCTAATGCTGGTGTTCCATGCTGACAAGGTTATGAGACAACTCCGTGGTGAGAAGTATTAATTATTCTAATTAAGCAGTCGTTTGGAGCTGCGGAAAGTTTCCCTCTTGAATTGCCAGATATTCTCCTAATTTCTCCCCTCACTGCTGACACATAAATCCTTGCGTGGGCTTCTGGGAATGTCTTAAGGCTGTCGATGATTCGTTCATTCATTCCTTCATTCATTTATTCATTAATATTATTACTTGTTTATTGAACAAGTGAATTATAATTAAACTAGCTGATGAGTCTCCATATATGTTTATGCATTGTTCACAGACTGTACTGTTCACACACATCAGTAATGCACACTGGGTACTAAAAAGCAAAACACAAAACATCAGAGTTTTAGCACAGCAGTTGTAAGAGTTTTATGGCATGCAATTTTTAGTGCCATCTAGGCTTTTGAAGGAAGTAACACAAGGACGTTACAGCCATGGGCCAACAGTTCCAACACCAATATTTGATTATTCAATTATTCTCTAGGTGTAGCGTTGGAGTAGTGACGTGTGGCAATGTGGAATTACAAATGGCCTTTTCTCAAAATTTCCCCCCATGAGACATGCTGTCTGGATCAAGCCTGCAACAGTGCACCCCAGTGTTCCTACACCGCTGAGCCTGAACCCCTGCAGGCCGCGCAGACAGGAAATAAGAGCAGGGAGTAGACGGAGAGAGAAGCCGATGGGAGATCTGCCAGGGTCTCCTCCAAGGAAGCCATGTAGGAGCACCTGTCAATCACAGGGCAAAGCTGAGGAGGAGGCAAAATGCTAAACTAAACGCTGCACGTTCTCTCTTCTCTCTCTCTGGGTTGCTCCACGGTAAGCTCCTATAGAGTTGCACAGCTGCAGCAAAGAGCACTTTTGACAGGTGAGCATCTCCTCACTTGCTGCATTCTCCCTCGTCCCTGCGCCATCCTACAATAACAGCATCCTCTTCCACCCCACTTCCTCTTAATGAGCCTATCCGTGGCACTGGATCAGCACCTGCCACCGGTAAATAAAGCCTTCCCAACAAGAAGACAGGACAAAGCCAGGTAGCGCTCACCCCCCTCTGAGTTAAAGAGCAGTAATGATAGCATCTGGAGCACAGAAGAGCGGTAAATCACTCTTTCTCCCTCACTCCCCATCTCTTCGCAGCCAGCTTCACTTCCTCTGCCTCCTCTCATGACCCTGTTCTGAAGAGGGACCACTGTTCCCCCCAAAACAGCCTTCACTTTGCTCTGACGTGGTCCTCTAAGCACTCAGTCTGACCTTGCCTTCCTGTTGTTTGAGGCACTCATAGTCCCTACAAACTGCCCTTGGCCTGCTCATTAGGGAACACCAGTCAGTACCCATAGCCTGCTGGAGTAAACGGGTCTAGAACTGTCCCAGCTGGAGAAAAATTAGTATAGATAAA